GATTTATCACAATAATTGCAACTTTAATTGTAGCCTTATTCAGTGTTTATCCTAAAACGATTGATCATTCCAAATGTCCCATATGCTTCCAGTTTTGCCATGGGGGGAAAAGATTTTTTAAAATGCCATCACAGCCACTGCGGCTATCTATCGATTCTGTAACATTTGCATCAATGCACATACTGGCAGGGGCGCATGGTGATATACTGCCACATGGATTTTTTGGAGCACACCCCTCAAACATACCGATACATCTCGTTCATTACATCAACATGAAGTGACCATGACCATCCATACTAAACCCAAAGCTAAACACTGAAGTCACTGTTCTGTAAGTAAAACACATCTGCATCTGTTACCATAGCAACAAGGTCATGAACCCATTACCTTAGTCTTAATTGAGTATGGAGAACAGAAAGCTGTGCATCAGAGCATGAGACAAGTTCAGAGAGAGAAACAGAGAGAAAGAGAGAGAGGGAGAAGCAGCGAGAGAGGGAAGAGAGAGGAGCCTTTTCTCCCCACTTCAACAGATCATATCACTGAATCACATCACCATCAGGCTGCTGGAGAAAACAGAGATTTTAAAAAGCTTTATAGATGGGCAGATAAAGAAAATGTTGTTGATATTAGCCGCATAAATCCGATGTTTCTGCAAAACATTAAAACAAGATAAAGATTCCTGCAGTCAGAGGAACACGGCGTGTAAACCAAAGTGACTTATGGCAGTTAAACTAAGTACAGAGCGGTATCAAGGAGTCATGTCTGAGATGATAAGGTCACTGAGGACACATCAGTGTCCATCTCTCTGCAGAGACATGCTGAGAGCTGTGAGAGCTTCCATCTGTCTCTATACAACATGTTTTTCACTCTCTGTTTTCCATCTGCTTTCACTTTGTGTCGACTCTTTGCTGCTAAAAGTCTCTCTAATGTTCTTCTGATTTTCTGATTGGCTGAAACCTACAAACACTCTTCAAGCATTAAAACCAAAATCGTGATATAATCATCTCATCATATATCTGACTCAGAGTGAGATTTATTCAGTGCTGAACAGCTGTTAAATTCCAGGTATACTTCTGATGAAACAGAGCAGAGTATCTGAGCAGAGTGAAATGTGTATCTGTGTGTGTTTGTGTGAATAATGCGTGTGCTCTGAATAAAAGCCTCTTCAGATCCGAGCTCTGCTTTGGTTAAAATGAGCTCTACAGAGCCCTCAGCCTCCAGAGACACCAACCACTGACACACTTCTGAGAGCTCTGAGGGACGGGACAGAAACAGAGCCAAAGCAGTGAGGTCTACAGGGACAGCATGCTGTGGTTTATGTGAGCGTGAAGCACATCACATTATGTAAGAGGGCGCTCTCACTGAGAAATAATCCTGTTTGAATTTAAAGGCCTCAATATAGAGCTGCTCTGCTCTCTCATAAGAAGACAAAATCTGAATTACTGCTGCCTCAAATTACTGAGATCAAGACCGGGCTCTAAAAGAGCATTTCAGTCTAATTATCACTTAAAAAGAGAGATGAAAGCTTCATGTAGTCTGATAATAGCTACAGAAACTCCTTCATAATAATTCATGTTAAACTGAAACCATCAGATCAGTCAGAGAGAAATCCTTGCTGCTGATTGGTGCACACAGAGAGAACACGTTTTTGATCAGAGAGCGTGAAAGAGTGTGAATAATTCAGGCTGTTTCTCTAATTCTGAGTTTAGATTCAGAAAGCTGACAGTCCTGATATCAGAGACACAGAGTCATCATCATTTATCTCTGCAAACATCTGAATCAATTATTCAGCATCCAGAGAAAAACAGCCCATGGAAACACTGAAATCATTTCTGAGAGAATAAAAGGAAACAAAACCAACAGAGAGCGTCAGAGTCTGTCCTCATCCTTTTTTAAAAAACAACAAAGAAAGTTTCCTGTTGGTCAAAACGACAAAAATCGATCTCTCCCTCTTTCTCTGTCCCTTTACACTTAAGCTGGAGTTCAACTCTCAGTTGGTCAGACTGTCTTAGATGAGTTATTAGAAGATCTGCAATGACTTTTTGGGCTTCATTACTTATTATATAATGAAAAAAATAATTCTCAGATCGTCTGTTCAGGTCATGTTGAGTCTGTCTTTCCTCCCTCTGACAGCTCTAAAGTATCTTTACAGGATGTACAGCTCAGAAATCTGATCAATGTCATGGAAAACCCTCATTTCAACCTCTGAAACATTTCAGATACTGTCTCTATAACACACTACAATGTATTCTAAAATCCAGCATACTAGTATCCAGCACTCTAGATCCCAAGGATCAAGGATATCTTCATTATCTCCAGGGGGCAATTTGCTTCACAGACAGATACAGTCTACAAATGCATTTCTCTTGCATTAGGAATAAAGTAAAAAGTTCAGACACATAAAAGCAGCACTCTATAACCCAGCATACTAGAATCCAGCACTCTAGAACACAGAATACTAGAATCTTGCACTCTGAAACTCATTTTCCAAGAATACAGCACTCTAGAACCCAATACACTAGAATATAGAACTTAAGGATCGAGCATCCTAGAATCAAGCATTCCAGGAATTTCCCATTAAAATTCAGCATTCTAGAGCTTCTCATTCTTAAACCCAGAACTCCAGAACCCAGTGTTCTTGAACTAGGATCCCGCATTCCAAACCCGAGCAATTTAGGGCCCTAAATTCTGGACCTCAGTGTTTTAAAGCTTAGTATTTTAGAGTTCAGCATTTTTCAGCCCAACATTCCAGAGCTCAGCCTCCTAGAGCTAATTATTCTTGAGCCAAGCATTCTAGAACCCAACATCCTTGAGCTCAGCACTCTAGAGCCCTGAGCATTCTGCAACTTAGCTTCTTAGAGCCCAGACCTCTAGGCCTTGGTGTTCTACAGCTCAGAATTTTAGAGTCTACCATTTTAGGGCAAGCATTCCAGGGTCAAACATTCTAATGCCCAGCATTCTGCAACTCAGCATTCTAACCTAGTATTGTAGAATCAGGATTCTAGAACATGATAAAGCATTCTGTGCTGGAACTCAGCATTCTTGAGTCCTGTGTTTTAGAGCCCAGCATTCTACAACCCAACATCCTACAACTCAGCACCATGAAGCACAGCATTTTAGAAACTTGCTTTTTAGAGCCCAGAATTCTAGACCACAGCATTTAAAAACTCTGAACTCTAGAGCCCAGCATTTTAGGGCCTGTACTTTAGAGTCCAACATTCTTTAGCCCAGCTCTCTAGAGATTATTATTCCAGAACTCTGCATTTAAAAAACTAGCAATCTCTAGTTTAGCATTCTAGAGGCCAGCATTTTTTATCTTAGCTTTCTAAAACCTAGCTTTTTGAGGCCAGGATTCCACACTTAAGCATTCTACCACTCAGCATTCTAACCCAGCATCCTATAATGCAGTATTGTGAACTCAGGATTCTAGAATATAGCAATTTAGAGCTCAGCATTCTAGAGCTCAGCATTCTAGAACCCAACTTTCTAGAACTCAGCACTCTAGAGCCCAGCATTCTAGATTCTAGATTCTATAAATCAGCATTCTACAACTAAGCTCATTAGAGCACAGACTTCTGGGACTTGGTTTTCTACAGCTCAGAATTTAGAACTCAGAGCCAAGCATTTTAGGGCCAGCATTCTGTAGTCCAACATTCTTAAGCCCAGCATTTCAGAGCATTCAATGCTGGAACTCAGCATTCTAGAGCCCAGCATTCTAGAGCTCATTGTTCTTAAGCCCAGCATTCTAAATCTCAACATTCTAGAACTCTGCATTCCAGAAACTAGCAATCTCTAGCTTAGCATTATAGAGCCCAGCATTTTTGATCTCAGCATTCTAAAACCTAACTTTTTGAGGCCAGGATTCCAGACTTCAACATTCCAACCCAGCATCCTAGAATCCAGTATTGTGGAATCAGGATTCTAGAACATTATATTCTAGCTAGGGCCTGACTGATATGGATCTTTTGGGGCCGATTCCGAAATCGATTATTATTATTATTTATTTATTTTATTTTATTTTATTTTATTTATTTATTTTTTTTTTTTGGGGGGGGGGGATCCGATTGCCAATTAATCGGCCGATTTTTTTAATTTTTTATGAACTTTTAAAATTTTGTTAATTTAAGTTATATATCTACACATTTACTATATATATTTTAATCAAATGGCTGCTTTTGAGCCTTTCGAACACTTCTTCAAAGAATTAAAGGCAGAAAACTTGTTTCAAATCCTTTTTATTGCTCGTAGCAGAAGAACAATATTAATATAACATTCACAAGCCCATACAACTGTGAGTTGCTCTTAATACTCCCAATTCAACAATGGAGGGTTGTAATGTAGGAAGCACAGCTTTTCTGCATTTTCTCCCTTAAGAGATCTGTGCTTCTCTTCATAAATGTTACCAATGGTGCTGAACACCCTCTCACCTGGTACAGAGGAGGGTGGACATGAGAGGTACCTCCCAGCAAGGCAGGAAAGTTTCTTGAAGCGGCAACTGTTGTTTTTCCACCACTCCAGTGGATTCCCTTTTTTTCCTGTCATTGACAGCCAAGCTTTAGCCTGAGTGAGTGTCTGCGCTGACATGTGATGCTCCTTGTATCGAGGGTCGAGTAGGCATGCAAGTACCACTTCTTTTGACTCTGTCACCATGCAAAACCTCTTTCCAGACTCTTAAGCATGGTCTTCCTCAGAGTCCTAATTCCTGATGTGCTAGATCCCTCTGATTCTAGCAGATGCTTGAGCACCACTGTACAGGGTATAATGCTCATTTCCAGAGTCAATTCCTCCATCAGTGTCAGGGTCTCCGCTAGTTTGGCTGCCAGGTCCCACTCCTCTGCAGTTGGACATACAAAATGGCCATGGTCACTGGAATAAACTGTCATGGCCCTCCTTTGCTCCAGAATCCTGGCGATCATATGAAGAGAGGAGTTCCATCTCGTTGGCACTGCCTGGATAATGGAATGCTAAGGGACACCAACCTCCTCCTGAATGACAGAGAATCATTGCTGTGCGACAATTGAGTGATGAAAGTGTGTGGCTATTCTTTTAAATTTAGCCAGTATGTCCCCCACCATTCTCTGTGAGTTGAGACTGTCATTAATGAGCAGCTGCAGGGTATGAGCACAACAGCTCATGCCAGGCAATTCTGCAAGCCTCATGCCTTTTACCATGTTTTCACCATTGTTCCTCAGCACCAGGTGGACACGCTGTCTGTCAATGTCCCATTCTTTCAGTAAGGTCAGGAAAGTCTCACTGATGTATTCTCCTGTGTTGGAACCAAACATTGCTTTTACATTTAGCACAACTTGGACTCTCTCCCAGTTATTATCAGTAAAATGAGCAGTTACGCTCATGAGAGCCTCAGCTGCTCCAGACCAACAGTCTGTGGTAAATGCAATACTGTTTCCTGCATTTTCCACTGAAACGAGTTGCTTTACTCTCCTGGCAATTTGAGAATATATTTCGTCCATCAATTGAGTGCGGAAATATTTCTCACTTTTCAGTGGATACTTCTGTGCTACCTTGGCCATTAACCTCTGAAATCCTCTATCTTCCACAACTGCATAGGGCAGGACATCAGTAGCATTCATTTCGATGATTAATTTGTCAATATTCTTTGTTTGTGGGTCATCAGGGGTCCACTTTGTGGTCCTATCAAACACTTGTGCGAGTGTAAGCTGAGCACTCACCGGCTATTAGTTCAAAGGAGATGTAGCAGAGTCTCGAGCGGTTGGAAATAGACCAATTTACAGCCGACCTCATCAAGAAGCTGCAGCACGGCATGGCAAGTGTCAATAAAAGTTGTCTACTATTTTGCCCCAGCCACTCAAACAACCAGGTAAGCAGGACAAACTTTAGTCAGTCTCTACAGGGAGAGAGGCTCACACACCAAGGATCTTTCACAACGTTACACAAACACGCACACACAAACACACACACACACACACACACACACACACACACACACACAAAGCAGCGGTCTGAAGTACACATCGGTATTAACTGTATAAACTTCGTCACCAGTCTCCCTCATCTACACACTTGTCTCCTCTCATCCACGCAAACTCACTTGTGTTCACAAAGGTACAGCTTTCACAGGAGCTCATCACACCACACCACAGATTAATGGAGATCTGACATAAAATAACGAAGGAAAAGTGACCTCAAAAAATATAAAACATCCTGATCTCAGTCCACCACACATCCGAGCAGAGACATGACTGATCAAACCTTCAGGAAATATTTCTTACCTTCACTCTGGAGTCTAAAACAGTCAGCATTATCAGTCATCCATCTCCAGCAGTTTAATAATCCATTGATATTATTCACATCCCTTTTCTCGCGATCAGTGCGTTTCATCCATTCATATTGTGTGAAAAAAAGTTTCAGCTCGCTTTAGCTTCAGGTGTCTTGATAGAGACCGACAGTAGGAGCATCACTGGACTTGGTACCAAGTCCAGACCACAGGTCCAGACAAGCCACGACTAACTCACCGCGTCAGAACCGAGACGAGTTCAGTGTCCCAGTGGAAGAAGACCAGGAAAAAAACGACTGAGCCGTCCGACCGGAAACAGCGCTAAAAACTTAAGTTTTTCATGTAAATGGATGAGATGCTGACTGCAAGGTTGTAAACGGGATTTAAACAGGATGTAAATGGGAATAATATCGGTGGATTATTAACCTGTTGGAGCTGGATGACTGATATTGCTGACTGTTTTAGACACCAGAGTGAAGGTAAGACATTATGTTACCAGAGGTTCTAGCCTCTCCCCCGGACGGTGGCTGTGTTTATCAAAAATTGCACCAAGAATTGAGGGTCTTTGCATGGCAAAACAGGCTCCGGTCTCTCATTAACATCACTGGGGAGGGGGGGGCTCAACCACCTTTGGGGGAGGGCCAGCTCACAAAAGGTTGAAAACCCCTGTTAAAGAACATAATATTCTAGAACATAACAATTTAGAACCTAGCATCCTAGAGCTTAGCATTCTCAAGCATTCTGTGCTGGAACTCAGAACTCTAGAGCCCAGTAATCTAGAGTCTAGGATTCTAGAGTTCAGCATTGCAACCTAGAGTCCTGTGTTTTAGAGCTCAGCATCCTAGAGCTCATTATTCTAGAGCCCAGCATTCTAGACCTCGGCATTCTGAAGCTCAGAATTCTATGGTCCAACATTCTTAAGCCAAGCCCTCTAAAACTTAACATTCTAAATCTCGACATTTAACAAACTAGCAATCTTAAGCTTAGCTTACTGGAGCCCAGTTTTTTTTAACTCACCATTCTAAAACCTAGATTTTTGGGGCCAGGATTCCAGACATAGGCATTCTTCAACTCAGCATTCCAACCCAGCATCCGAGAACCAAGTATTAAAGAATCCGGATTCTAGAACATAGCAATTTGGAGCCCAGCATTACGGAACCCAACGTCCTAAAACACAGCACTCTAGAGCCCAGCATTCTAGATTCTAGAAATCAGCACATGACAACTAAGCTTTTTAGAGCCCAGACTTCTAGGACTTGGTATTCTACAGCTCAGAATTTAGAACTCAGAGTCCAGCATTTTAAGGTCCAACATTCTTAAACCAAGCATTCTAAGGCTCACTTTCCAACCCAGCATCCTAAAACCCAGAATTCTAGAATTCGGATTCTAGAACATAACATTCTAAAGCTCAGCATTCTAGAGCATTTTTTGCTGGAACTCAGCATATTCGAGTCCTGTGTTTTAGAGCTCAGCACTCCAGAGCTGAGTAATCTAAAGTCCAGTATTTTAGAGCCCAGGATTAAAGAGTTTAGCATTCTAGAGCTCATTTTTCTAGAGCCCAGCATTCTAGAACCACACATTCTAGAACTTAGCATTCTGAAAACTTGCCCCTAGAGCCCAGAATTCTAGACCTCGGCATTCTAAAGCTCAGAATTCTAGAGCCCAGCATTTTAGGGATAGTATTCTAGAGTCCAACATTCTTAAGACCAGCATTCTAAAGCTTGGCATAATTCTCTAGTTTAGCATTCTAGAGCCCAGCATTTTCAGACAGCATTCTAAAACCTAGCTTTTTGAGGCCAGGATTCCAGACTTCAGCATCATAGAACCCAGTATTATAGAATCGGGATTCTAGAACATAATATTCTAAAACATATCCATGTAGATTCTCATTCATCCAGGTCATGGTTATCTTGAAGACTTAAAACAGGCAACTGGACTGTGTAGAGTTGAAAAGACGTTTCGCCTCTTATCCAAGAAGCTTCTTCAGTTCTAAATATTGCTAGTGTGAGGAGCAGATATTTATCTCACTGGAGAAGGGGACAGATAACGACTGGGTGGAGTTGAAAAGAATGGGTCGTAGAAACCCATCTCTGGGTGTGTCACCCCCCAAGTCGTTAACCTGAAAGGGTCGTTAGCGACTCCTGTCATGTGACCACATGACTCATGCCACCTGGGTCATGTGGTTCCAGGTGTGATTGTTTGTGGAGCTTCCTGGGGAGAGAGCTGAGAACTGCATTGTAAGTGCCAGAGAGATTGTGCCTGAGTCCACCCCCTCTGTTCAGAGAAGGTTTCTCCAGCCTGGTAAAGATGGCTTCTCTAACTCCTCTGTCAAACCATCTGTCTTCTTGAGCCAACACCTGTACATCGCTGTCCTCAAAAGAGTGACCTGTATCCTTCAAGTGAAGGTGGACAGCTGAGTCCTGACCTGAGGAAGTGGCTCTCCTGTGTTGAGCCATGCGCTTGTGAAGCGGTTGTTTAGTTTCCCCAATGTACAGGTCCGAGCATTCCTCGCTGCACTGGACGGCATACACCACATTACTCTGTTTATGTCTTGGTGTTTTGTCCTTGGGACGGACTAGCTTCTGCCTTAGTGTGTTACCAGGCTTGAAATGAACAGGAATATGGTGTTTGCCAAAGATCCTCTTGAGTTTTTCCGACAGGCCTGCAACGTAAGGGATTACAGTGCTCTTGCGTCTCTCCTCCCTTTCGTGTTCAGTGTTATTTCTCTTTCTGTTCTTTACAAAGGCCCACTTAGGGTATCCACAGGTTGTCAGGGCATTTTTGATGTGCTTCTGTTCCCTATCCTTACCTTCTTTCTTCGTGGGAATATTCTCAGCCCGGTGGTTGAGTGTTCTGATGACACCCTGTCTGTGCTGCAGAGGATGGTGGGAATCAAAAAGTAGATATTGATCCGTGTGTGTTGGTTTCCTGTACACTTCAACATTGAGACACCCATCTGCCTCCGAGTGTACAGCACAGTCCAAAAAGGCCAACACATTGTCCTTGACATCTTCACGGGTGAACTTGATGTTGCTGAGAGTTGCTCAGCAACATCAAGTTCAAAGTTTAAAACATAGCATTTTAGAGCCCAGCATTCTTGAGCCCAGCATTCTAAACGTTTTAATCCCGAGCCTTGCTTACAAGGACTCAGCTCTAGAACCCAACATTTTATTAGTTCAGAATATAAAAATTATGACACTATTAAAGACGTGAACAGCAATAACACTTTTTAAAGATTAATTTTAAATATTTTTGTTACATGGTCCACTGAACCTGGGCATATTTTACTCAACAAAAAATTGTTATTTTGCTCATTTTCAGAATATTATTAGTATTTCTGTCTCTGTTCATAACAATCTGAAGCGTCGAACTGTGAACAGAGGTCTGTAAACATCACATTGACCTCCCACCCTCACTTATAACAGCCCACACTGTGCCTGACATTGAATACAGTTCTCTCTTCTCAGCAGTGTGTAAATGATGGAGAGATTGAAACCCTGCAGCTGACAGTAATCTAGAAGTGTCTGCTATGATTAAAAATGTCAGTTTGAGTAAATTCTGCACGAGAGGACTGCAGCTGCAAGCACTGAGAGGGAAATAAAGAAGTGAAATCAGCAGTGTTTTTCTAATATTTTCAGTATCATATGTTAATTTATAACCTCAGTAAGCAACTGCACCAGCACTGAGTGACAGAGTTTAGCTTTAAGCAGTGGAGGAGGTGACTTAGGGAAATATACTGTTCCCTCTGGACTTCCTGAAATTCTGCTGAGACACCCAAGCCATTCACCATAAAATGCCCCCCTGATTCAGGTGACATGATACATTACCTGCTACTTTCTTACCTAGTAACTGCAGACTGTGATCTGAACCTTCAAATGAACATGATTTAGACAGAAGTCAGACACCTGTCAGCCTGAGGGTGAGTTTTCATTTTGATTCACAGCCTGTCGACACCAAGGGACTGACCACAATGACTCTCAAATCCACTAGAATGTTTATCAGCAGCAGCTTTGTAAAGTGACTGAGAGAACTTAAACATTTTGTTAGTGTAATGGAGCCTCAGTATTCATTTGCCGAGCATTCTGACTGAACCTGAAAGTAGCAATGAGTAAAATCTCTCTCATGCATTAAACTATGGCACAGATGGATCAGTGCCCCCCATCAGAAACTACTGTACGTGGATGAAAAACACAAACCATAAGGCTGCAAAACCTCTGCCCCCCCCCCCCCCCCACACACACACACACACACACACACATCTGCCGTCATCCTCATAGTTCAAATAGTCTGCAGAGAACAGAGAACCCTGAAAATCTAAATCTGCTCATCCTCTGT